TGTGGCAGGGGGATGGTGGTGGGGTTGGGCTGAGTTCGGGAGGGGGAACGGTGTGTATCCTGGGCTTGGATGGGAGTTGTAGTCTGAAACCTCTAGCAGGGGCCATGCGGTGGTTCTTCTGCCGTGGGGGTAAAAGGCAACCAATGGAAAATGGATCCGAGACATTTTAATCACACACACACACCCGCCGCGGTTAGATGTATCAGCCAGCCCTAGTCTAGGACAGCGGCTTCCAACCTTGGTAACTCAGATGTTCTTAGCAATCAGGCAAAATCCAAAGAGACCAAACTAAACGGGACGATAATTTAAAAAGAGAGAGACAAACGACGTTTGAAAAATTGTCATAAGGTGAAAAATATGGAGTGCTGTGTGAGTTTGTGTATGCTTGGACTACACTTCCCAGAAGCCTTCACCACCAGCTGTCCTGACTGGGGTTTCTGGGAGTTGCAGTCCAAAATTCCTGAGTAACCCAAGGTTAAGAACCAGTGATCTAGGAGGTGGTGCTGTGATTGTGTTTATGGATCTGTGGTCTCTAAAGATGAATTTGCGTATCTGTACTTCATGCTCTTCTGAAATCAGTTTGGGTGGAGTGCAGTCACGGAAGTTGATACAGTACTATGTTTGTGGTTAAGAGTAACTGTTGGTATTTCACGTAAGCATTTTTGGGCTTTGTCAGTGAAGATGTTTGTGGTCAACAAAATCTTGTGAGGAAAATCCAGTTGCTTTGGTTGTCATATTAAGATTGGAATGTGTGATTGGCCTCAGGTTACTAAAGATTAAATTCTGTTTTTACTTACCTGGGATAAGATTTATTGAGTTGCCTTTGAGTTATGAGTAGAAATGCAGGAGTGTAGATTTCATTAAGGGTGTTTGGGAGCCCCTCTTGTCCCAAATGAGTGGTAGTTAAGATTTTTACTCAGCATTGTTGTGTATTTGGATCAGAAGAATTCTGTTTTGTCTTCTGGAATTTCAAATAAGGAAGTGCTAAAGCAGATATGAGATGTTACATACAGCCTTCTTAAGGCTTGAAGGTGAGATGTTCAGAGTTGTGTGCAGCACAAAGGCTACATGTACAGAACATGAAATGTGCTGCCTTTATGGAACATAGAAATTTAGTGGAAGTGACACATATCTTCAAATTTCTGGAGGTGAAATGGCACAGGAATATATTAGTAAAATGCTCATGATTGGTAGAACTTCAGTTGTGCACATAGGCAATAACTTGCAATACTGTATACTGCTTAGGAGAGAAATTCATACTTTTAATTACAGGAACTTATGAATATTTGTGGTCTAGAAGATTGGCAGAAGCCTGAGGGACCTATAGAAAGTCATTTGTTCCAAATAGATAAAAATCAGTGATCTTTTAAAAAAATTTTTTTGATTTAGATCACAATTTCAAATCATGATTAAATTTAAAAAATTAGTTGTTGTAGATCATTAAAATTTAATTTTTTACAAAGTTAAACCATTAATTAAATTGAGTTATATAAAGTCCAGTTCTGATTTGGTACCACAGAGCTATGTTGGCATTGGGAAACCTCATTTTTGCTATTCTTGGCAGGATTAAAATTCATTTCTCTCCTATTGCTGTTACCTTGTTTAATATCTAATGAAGGAAGGTATGGTCAGTTTCTGTAGGAGTGCCAATTCTTGAAGTAAAGGGGTGGCGTGTGCTCTGAAAGAGAAGGACTCACTCTTGATGGATTGGGGCAGTCTGAAATGCTGACTTGGAAGTGATGAAGTGTAGAACCCCTGCTATGGGTAGGGAGAAGGCAAGGTAGAGTAACTATATGAGATGCTCCTGTAATGCCCGTTTTTCTAGAGGAAGGCTCATCACAAAGTTCAATAGGCCTTTTCAATCCACCAGTACATGTGTTCTTCTGAGTTTATAGTTGTTTTTTTACAATGGTTGTTTATATGTTTTTAGGGGTTTAAAGCAAATTTGTCACTTCTGAGGCGGCCTGGAGAAAAGACCTATACACAGCGCTGTCGTCTTTTTGTTGGGAATTTGCCAGCTGATATCACAGAGGAAGAATTTAAAAGGTTATTTGCTAAATATGGTGAACCTGGTGAAGTCTTCATCAACAAAGGAAAAGGCTTTGGTTTTATAAAGCTGGTAAGCAACACTTCTCTGTTTTTCGCTATGTTATGAAGAGGTTATTGCCACCCAGTACTGCTTTATACTTGGAAAAGTGAGGGCTAAAATATGCATTACTGGTGTTTTCCCATCCACAGGAATCCCGTGCTCTGGCTGAGATTGCGAAGGCTGAACTGGATGATATTCCCATGAGAGGAAGGCAGCTTCGTGTGCGTTTTGCCACCCATGCGGCTGCTCTTTCTGTTCGTAATCTTTCCCCATATGTATCAAATGAACTGCTGGAAGAAGCCTTTTCCCAGTTTGGCCCAATTGAAAGAGCCGTTGTGATTGTCGATGACCGTGGACGATCAACAGGAAAAGGCATTGTAGAATTTGCCTCTAAGCCTGCAGCACGAAAAGCATTTGAGCGCTGCACTGAAGGTGTATTTCTTTTGACAACGTAAGCAGATTTCACAAATATTATCTAGTTACATGCAGTTGATTAAATACCTTGGGTAACTTGAAATTAGAAGGTGGTGTTGACAATAAATGTGTGTGGTCTGATTTTTAGCACTCCTAGGCCAGTTATTGTGGAGCCACTTGAACAACTGGATGATGAAGATGGTCTTCCTGAAAAACTGGCTCAGAAAAATCCAATGTACCAAAAGTAAGTTGAATTGAGTAGATTTAAATAGCATGCGGAGGCAGTTAGAGTTGTAAAAGTAGAAATGCAAACTTGTTCATTGAGAGTTTTCATAGATCACAAATCACTTTGTAACCTGCCAGTAATGGTTTTGTTGTATTGATGGCTTATATCAGTTACGGTGTAGATGTTAATGCTCTGCTTGAAAAGCATTTAGAGCTCCTAAAAGTTTATTACTTGATTAGAAGGAACCATTCCATGCAGTATCTTTTTGTATCTTTTTTTTAAAAAATCAAAACAGATTTAGAAGTTTGTTTTGAAGTTTGCTCCCGTGTGAATTCTGAGATCAGAAGAATGCCTGTTTTTCCATGATAGACCCAGGCGTGTTCTGTTGTTTGTTTGGGACTCAGATAGATTCACACCTTTAAATGTAAAAAAAAAAATTGGTTGGAGATCTTTATATACACATTTCATTTTTCTAGTTAAAAGACTTGTTATATGTCACTCATTGTGAACTAGTTCTTCAAACTTATCATTTTTAAAAAAGTTTTTTCTCTGAAGAAAATGCAATCGGTGAAGCTGATACTGTTTTATATGCTTTTGTTTAATATGTTTCTCAACAGCAAAAGGAAAAAAACTTGCTGTATTTTTCCATTTATAAGATGCCCCTGTTTATAAGGAACCCCCCCCCCCCAATTTGTAACCCAAATTAAAAAAACTAGATTCAGCCTCTGGGCTCAGAACGGTCAGACATGAGGAGTCCCTCTTGCATCTGAGCCTACAGGTTCCACCTCCAATGAGGTGTGTTCCAGTTGGTCTGTTTAGCATCAGCTACGGTCAGTTCCATAAGGCTTGTGATTGTAGGAAGCTAAGCATCATGATTGAAGGAAGCCTGTTTGCAGAGGCATGGTACGGGCTGTTTTGTCCTTTCTCAGCTTACTTCTATGTAAAAGACGCCTCTCAATTTTTAGTGTAGTGATTTTAGGAAAAAGTAGTATCTTATACATGGAAAAATACGGTACCACTCCAGAAAAATAAAACTTGTAATAATGAAAGGTATAGTGAGAAAAAGGTATTGCAGCCTTATCCTAAAATGTAGAAAAGTGGTAAGTCACAGCTTTAAGCATTCCATATGTGTGCTTTGTGTTTTATTAGGTTCACTTGTTGCCATTAAAAAAGTATTGTGAATCAATGAATGCTTGCAATTGGAAAGTTTTCTGCAGATAAATATAGCAGTGGAAAAATCATTACTAGACATCTCTATCCTTTTAGTGTTCGTCAGATGTAAAACTGGGCTTTTCTTCTGGAAACTTACCGGATTTGATGATAATTTGAGCTTTGCTGAGTATTTTGACAAACGAGGTATATTGTTAATGCTAATTGGCTTTTCACTTGCTCTGCTAGGGAAAGAGAGACTCCTCCTCGTTTTGCACAACCTGGAACTTTTGAATATGAATACTCTCAGCGGTGGAAATCTTTGGATGAAATGGAGAAACAACAGAGAGATCAGGTGGAGAAAAACATGAAAGATGCCAAGGATAAACTGGAAAGTGAAATGGAAGATGCCTATCATGAGCATCAGGCAAATCTCTTGCGCCAAGGTATGGGACATAAACCTTGACTGTTTTATTTCATGTCATGGTCTGATTTCATCCCAATTTCACTTTCATCTTTTCTGTTTTATTTTTTTAATTCTGTCAGATTATTTTAAAAATACTTAACACCTCACCTTTCTCCTCAGGAGGACACAAGGTGGCCTACGGTATTAAAAAAACATACCATGTGAAAACTGAGAGTAGAGGTGGAAAAATAACAGAAATGTCGATATAGAGTAGATCTTACTTTGAAATTGTTACTGAAACTTGGTGTTTTGATTTAAATTGACATATTATCATTGGAAAGTAAATTGCTTTGAAGAAGCCATCAGAAAGTGTAGAACGTTGTACAGTGACCAATCATTGCTTCTACGTAATTAAGTCATTGCTAACAGAGATACTTGTCATAAGTAAATGCTTGAAGTGTAGATAGTAAAAACAGGCACTGTAGATTTTTGTGAATGAGAACTGGAATTTTTGACTGCTTGATTGTTGAAGTGCGTGAATGAAACCTAATTACTTAAGCGTGACTTGGAAGGTGGGTTTAAAAGAAGTTGTGTTGTGTTTCAGGATGATAAGATACTAAGAATCTGTGGTCCTGAAAATGTTTCAATTAATGGTGTAAAACTTTCTCAGATCTCATGCGGAGACAGGAAGAGCTGAGGCGTATGGAAGAACTTCACAATCAAGAGATGCAGAAACGCAAGGAAATGCAATTAAGGTAAGTTGCGACTATTATTCAGACTTTTATTTAAGCACTTTTAAGATAGCTGTATCTGACAGGAAAGTTTATAGATGCAATTGTGTGGAATATTATGGAGATGTGAAGTGTTTATCACTCCTCGTGCCCCATGTCAGAAATACATTTCTGTGTTCTGCTGCACTTATTAGGTCTGAGATGTCTGATGTTTTTCCCTGCAATGTGTTATAACACAGGGTTGTGTTTTCTATACTTTTATTGATTTGGATATTTTTAATATCGGGTATGATTGATAACTGCGTTGTCTAGGTCAGTGGTTCTTAACCTTTATTACTCGGATGTTTTTGAACTGCAACTCCCAGAAACCCCAGCCAGCACGGTTGGTGGTTGTGTTTTCTATACTTTTATTGATTTGGACATTGTTAATTAGGGTGTGATTGATAACTGCATTGTCTAGGTGGTTAATTTTGGTTTAACCAGTGAATGATGAAATTATTATAGATTAACTGTTCGTGTTTCCAGCACGGTTGGTGGTGAAGGCTTCTGGGAGCCGCAGTTCAAAACTCCTGAGTAACCCAAGGTTAAGAACCAGCGGTCTAGGTGGTTAAGTTTGGTTTAACCAGTGCATGATGAAATTATTGTAGATTAACTGTTCGTGTTTCTAGAAATGTAGAAGTCATTGGTGATCTGATGGAAAATCTGAATTTTCAGGCAGGAAGAAGAGCGCCGTAGGCGGGAGGAGGAGATGATGATCCGCCAGCGTGAAATGGAAGAACAAATGAGAAGACAGAGGGAAGAAAGTTACAGTAGAATGGGTTACATGGACCCTGTAAGTCAGGGCTGGAAGAATCCCAGTAGTCTGGTTACCCAGGTGCCTACATCTCATGTTGATCCCTAGGAATTCATAAGATAATCTTTAGTGCTTTGTATTTTTAAGCTACCTGTTTAGGTCAGTCTGGGGCATAACGGATTGGTGTCAACTTCTGTGCCATTTTTGTTCATGTTGCGGGTGAGAGATTGAAGAGAGTTGTGCTCCTTCTACAACTTTGTTTTTGCTTTTGCAGAGGGAGAGAGACATGAGGATGGGTGGTACAAGCACCATGAACATGGGAGGTAAATACACTTTTCTCAATGCAACAGTACACAGGAATGTCTGTGACTCACTCTGTGGATGACTGCTTGGGTTTCTTTTATAGATCCCTATGGTACAGCTGCTCAGAAGTTCCCACCTTTAGCGGGTGGTACTGGCCTTGGCTATGAAACCAGTCCTGGAGTTGGACAAGCATCTATGAGTGGCTCTATGATGGGGAGCGATATGGTAATGTATCCTGTGGCAGCTTTAATTCAGTTCCCCAAACATTTCATACTTGAAACACCTCTTGCTTCTGTTTGATCTCAGTGGATGTGCACTTTGAGTGAGGCCTCCTTTTCCCAGCAGGTGTGCATAATGCAAAAGCAGAGTGCTTGTTGAAGCAATAGGAAACTTAAGTGTATTTTTTGGTCAATATAGTTTGTTCAGGGACTTCTGCTCTAAACAGTAGCAGATTTTCTACGGGTAGGTGGGCTTTGAGTTCTTTAGTTAAGTTTGAAGGAACTCTTTATGGTTAAATTTGAAGGAACTCTTTAACTTCATGAGTATCAGTCATTTGTTGGGGGAAAAGACCCAGTTTTCACTGAGGTAGATTAACAGAAGTGGTCTTTGTCACCTTCTGCACTTGAGTTTAAATACAGCATGTAAGGATGAAAATGAGACATAAAATAGATGGATACTCAGTCTAGCAAGCCTAATTGTAAGATCATGGCACGTTGTGAAAACTTTGTTAATTCTGTTGAGCAATTACAGATAATGGAGAACGAGATACAGATGGTATATAGGTATACGTTGGTTTTTCCCATAGCGTATATTGAGGAAAGAAGAGACATTCACTCTAGGTAGGCAGGTTTGTAAAGGCACTTGTTAATTCTCAAAGAGTACAGCTTAATTTGGTAACAATAATTTGGAACTGCTTAAATTACCTGACTTAAAAAAGAGCCCTGTTGGACCAAGCATAGGGTCCATTCTGTGTGCCACAGTGGCAAGCTGAATGTCTCTGAGATCCCTACCAGCCAAGGCAGTAAGGCTACAGTTGTGTCCAGATGCTGCTCCCTGGCAGCTGGTACTCATTGACATGTATTGCCTTGCAACAAGGTTCTGGGTAACCTTCTTGACTAGTAAGCAACTATAGAGGACAGCCTGATCCACTGTGAGTTTGAATTTGACTTCATACTAAGCTTTTTGCTAAGTACCTCTATGCACACGATGTGTGCCATAGTTTCTGGGCCTGCGTGGAGTAAAGTAATAGCAGTGCTCACAACGAGTAGCTATTTCTGCAGTCCAAATATAACTAGTTCTGATGTAATGGTTTGTATTCAACCTGAGAGTATGCTTTAATGCATACTATAAAAAGTTGACAAGAGGTGGGTGGGTGTGGATATGGTTAATCTCTGTACTGAAACTTCTGCTTTCTAAAGCATGCTGTTTCTAGCTCATGTTTTCGTAGAAACAAATTTTGCTTTTTTCCAGGTACTAGTTCTGGTGGTGTCCTGTGGCCGTGACTGTAATCTTTTTAAGAAGCGAGCACTTTATTGTAGACTTTTATTGAAGTTGGTAGTCATGTAGATTCTCCATCGATCTTTCAGAATTAACAGTGTATGCCCACCATGTGAAGTAATAAAGACCTCAGCCGCTTGGAACTGATGCTACTGAAAAATTATTCTTCCAAGTCCGCATATAGTAAAGTGCTGCTTTACTGTTCAAGTATGCGACATTAGAAGTCTGTAAGCAAATCTGTGTACATCTGGGATTTGCTTATACTTAACACATGGCCTTTGGGAGTTCTCATTGCCAGTCTAATTAAGGGAGTATAATGTGACTTAGGAGCCTTGTATATATTCCAGGAAATCCATACTCCTGATGACTCCATGATTGGATACCTATGCATAGCAGTGAAGGGCTCATGCGTGTGTCTTTCCGTTTGGATTTTGGTGCCAGAAGAACAGCAACTGAGGTTTTAGTTTGTGGGATGATCAAAGAGGAAAGTGGATGAGCCTTTCATACAATACATCTGCATTAGTATCTGGTTAAAGGAATCATACAGTTAATCTGAATGGTTTCACAGATGGAATTGACTGCCGTAGTTTTTAAAATAAAACTAGTGTCTAAGCTGGCCTCCGCAGCATCAGTGTCAAAATCTGTCATCCATTTCATTTTTTTTTTGTGCCTAATAGTACAGCAGGTAAATTGGAAATATAAAAGATACAATTTTGAGTTTTTTTTTCTTTTTTTTCTGGCGGTTCCCTGCAGACCAGCTGAAGGTGTTCAGTAAGCAAAGTCATAGAGGACTGACTTTGTTCAAATCCCAGTAACAATCTTAGACTCTGCCTGATGCTGTTCTGTTCCCTGGAACCATATTAACAGCACAGGTTTTGTGTAGCCATGGATTTTTTTTATTTTATTTTTGTTCTCTGCTATTGAAACTAGGCTAGTATTGTTCTTTGTGCTTCATTAGTGTCTTAATGACTTTTGTTCTTCAAGAATAAGCAGATTAGTCTTGTAGTCTTCACCAAAAGAGATGGTCTCTCATATGTAACTGGTGAGTAGGCATCCTTTTTTATGTGACCTGGTGGAGTGTCAGGGAGTTGAACCCGGCCCCTCTCTGGCTGGGCTGATGATTGTCAAACTTGCATTGCAGTAAGATGAGCACGTAATTTTGGCAGAGTACCAGAATTCCTTTCTCTGAGGGTTCTTGGTTCAAGCTTGTACTAATGCTTGCATTTTTAGCATTATAGGGACTATCTGTTCACTGGAACAGACATTTGAGAATGGATCAAGTTTGGGAACATACCTCAAGGCATGTATTAAATTAAACTAATTATTAAATTACCCTTTTTTCCTTTCTATGTTCCCGGTACCTGTGGATCGACTCATTGGTGATTGTATCGACGAACGTTGACTACGGAAACCTTCTAAAATAAATACTTAACACACATGGACATCAACTACACATAATGAACTCTTAACACTGTTCTCATAGCGTGCTGAGCGATTTGGGCAGGGAGGGGCGGGGCCTGTAGGTGGCCAGGGCCCTAGAGGAATGGGGCCTGGAACTCCAGCAGCTTATGGGAGAGGCAGAGAAGAATATGAAGGCCCCAACAAAAAGCCCCGGTTTTAGATGTGACGTAGATTTTCATTCCAGTTTTTGTTTGTCTTGTTTAGACACTAACTTTTTTTTAATTCTTGCATTTTAGTAAGAAAGCTACGTTTTTATGAATGTTAGAAACTTAATGACCTAGAATTTGTAAGTGGTCTGGGCAAGAAAAATATAATTATGTAATGCAGTGTTCAAAACTTAGCTTTTTTGATGTATAACGTCCCTACCTTGATGGCAGTGTACCGTGTGCCATTTGAATTCCCAACTGTAAACTTTTTTTACTGTGCTTAAAATAAATAGACTAAATGTAGCCATTATGCTGACATTTCTGTTCACATTTCTGGGTGTGCAGGCAAGTATACCAGCACCTTTGAACATCCCGTAGATCACCTGAAATCTGATTGGTTTAGTTTTCAAAATGGCTTAGATTCTGCCATGACCTAAAATGTCTTCATTGGCCTACGTTACCAGTATGCAATGTTTGAGATGTAATTAGATTTGAGTATGAAACAACTTGATGGGGTAAAGTTTCAACTGAGACTAAGCTTCTAATATTAATTTTATAGAAGCTGCAGAAAAAGTAGCATTAGATTTTGCATTTAGGTTCTTAATTTTAATTGGCCTTCAGTAGGAGAATGAAGGGAAACTTTACAAGTGTGGGGCTTAGGCTCAAGTGATGTAGTCCCATGAATTATTTGTCCTTCCCGGGTAAGAAGGTGGGAGAAAGTGGATGTTGGCAGGTATCTGGTAGCTTTTGCTGCTGGTTTCCTCAGCCTATCCCCCACTTCTATGTTCCATAACTCTGCTAGTACAGCCTGATTATACTGATCTCCCCCTAAAGGGTGGCTCAACGTGACATGCCCTCTGACATGGCTTGATACTTAGGAAGAGGCTGGCCTAATTTGATGTTGAACTGCGTTTCACAGAAAAGCTCTCGAGTGGGTGGGCATGTGTATTTGTGATGTGAGTCATGATTTGGGAAACAGGAGAGCAGAAATGAAAGTATCCTTTTTAAACTTCAGGGTTTAAAACATGCCTAGTGTCCTGCACTGTAGTACCTGACCAGGTAAACCTGACTTTTTGGGATCTCAATAAAATTAGAAGGTTTATGTCCTGGCTATGTAGTACAAATTTGTGATGAATTTGGGAGAAAAGATGAGCATTTCATCCTTAACCTACTGTATCATGTGCATGAATTCAAGGTGTGCTGAACTCCATACACTGGAGACCTCTAATGTGCTGGGTGCCAAGTTTCCCAGTGTAAAAGTAACTATAGGTTGATGAAAAGATCAACCTGATTTGAAAGATTACTCTGATTTAATTCTGTACTTTTTTCTCATACAATATTTGAGTGTCATATGGTATCTGGTTCTTTAAATCAGGGGTGGGGAGCAGTTTCCCCCTTTTCTGCTGAGGGCTGCATTCCCTGGGAATAATTGTCAGGGAGCTGCATGCTAGCAAAGAGCAGATCTGGACCCTAGGTTCAGCAGACCCAACTCATTTGCCTCCTTTCTTTCTCCAGCATTTCTTAAGAGGTCTGGACTTAATTCACTTGGAGAGCGCATGTTTCCTTCCCAAAATCTATTTCGGCTTGTTTTCCTCTTCTCCATACCATTCGCTCCTCCTTGTGTGGGGCTTCCTTTTCCACTATGAAATTTGGTTAACGGTCACATATGGCCCCTGGACCCTGATGGTTTCCCCACCCCTACTTTAAATGTCTCAATCTATTTTTGGGAAGAGTGGACTGTCTGTAATGTTCTTGCAGCATGAGTGGATACGATCTTGGTGCCATCAGTTATTAAGAACTTGGACTAAAGCTTTTGTACTAAGCAAATGTTTCCTGCACAAGAATCCTGATAAACTTTTGACGGTCATGCTTGCTGGATGACTGGCCTCTAATTTAGGGTTGTGGTTGGAATGATTGACTTTCACAGAAAGTGTTCCAAGAAGTTACAACGTGACACCAGCAACTTATTCAAATAATAGGAATAATGATAACCTGCAGTTTTTTTGCACTGGAGACTAATGGAGAGATGTTTTTGTAATACAATTCAGTGAAATTTGGAGTTCTTGTTGGGTTTTAAGGGCTCAGCCTTGGGTTGGGGGTTTCTAAGGATTGTGCGTGGGACATGTACTCTAGGAATTCAGATTAATGGGTGGGGCCTCTCGAGATGGACACTAATTTTCAGTTTATTTTTCAGATTACATGCCATTTTCCTTTAGGATGCTGGCCCATATCCTAAACCATGCTCTTTTGTAGGCTGATGATCTTATTAACTTTCCTGAGGTCCATCTCTTGTTTCATTCTGCCTAAAATCAGGTGTATGTGAAGAATAACACAGGAAGTAGTGAGAGTTGCAGAAGACACTGAGACCTTATTTGAGAAATGCAATATCTCCCAGCTGCACACACATTTAAACTCCTGTGCAGCAGTCTGACTTCAAAAACCCATGCAGTAGGCTGGGTCCTGAGTCTGTAGATGAACCAATTTTGAGTTTTCACTGAATTGAATGTTCTGTTTCATTAGTAGATTTTCCCCCATTGGGGTTTCAACGTGTATTTAAGCTTGTCTGCTGGTGCACTTTCTGCAGATGAGTGACTTCCTATTCTGCATGCCCATTCAGCTTCTAGTTCATGTATTAAAAAAGGGTCTCAGTGCACCGCCCAGAGGATCCTCCCATGTTTTCACACCCCTAGCATGTTATAAACACATTCTTGCCCATTATAATGCAAAACTGAATTTCTGTTTCTGTGCGTATTCTGTGGTATCTTTGTTTTCTTAAAAAAAAAGTTCTTGGCATCTCTTTGGCAACTGCTTGTGGCAGCATGCTTTTTTTTCTGGAGTTTGGGACTGCAAGTTGACACGGTTTTAAAGTAGTGCCCTGCTACATAACAGCACTTAGACAGCATTTCTGCAGTGCATAACTGTGAGGAACGTAGTACCACAAGTGGCAATGGACATTAGGACCTGGATGTAGTATTCCTGCTTGCTCCGAGATTCTCATTGTCGCCTGCACACAGGTAGGTAAAAAGCACTATAAATCTAACTTGGTGACTTTCTGTGTAATCTTGCTGTGGGGTACTCTGGCATCACACTTCCGACCATGGGATTTCAGTGCAGCACTCCCTGTACTATGTGGTACTTAGAATTGAGGCCTGAACTGCCATTGGAATTAGGCAGCCTGAACTGTAATGCTGGGACTTGTGCCTCAGACCCGTGATTTCTTCATGCTTACGACTTTCCATCTTTACTGTGTGTCAGAAGAATTTTTTAGAGCTCAAGTGGGTGGGTGGGGAACGGATATAGCCGGTAAATACCTTAAAAAGTCCTCTTTGGCGCTCATAATAGGAATAAGTACTTGTACTTAATATGTGATTAGGGCTCATGATAGCAGTTATATAGCCCTCTTTGGGCTAGACAGATAAATGCATTGATTACTTGCTCTGGGCTATAAATGGTTGCTGTTTTGGGGTGTGGTATAATGCAACTTCAGTGGTCAGTCATGCTATGTGTTTGGGTGGCTGTGGGATGATGGCTGTGGTATTTGCTCAAGTGATATACCGAAAAATTGGGAGCTCCCACTTCTCATATGGCATGCATCTTTCTCTAGAAATGTATCTTCCTCGGCTTCTTTGATGGGGAACATACATCGTAGTCACATGCCTGACATGTATTGCCCTCCAGGTCTTTTGGCTTTGTTGTGCTAGTTAGTTGAATGTGTTTTCAAAGTGATTTTTCTGCTCTGGTTTTTGGCCAGTCCACAAGAATTAGCAGTATTTTATTTAAGCCTAAAGTGTGTTTTTATCAGTCCTAGGCAGGTATTGTAATTCCAGTAAAAAGACTTACTAAATGAGCAGGATTCAGCAATGAATCTGGCAGATAATAAAGTCTGGGATAAACCAATATCTCAGTAAGCTGCAAGAGAAAAGCGTACTTGAGGTCCTGTCCATATGGACAGCATATACACTATGCAAGACTCTTTTTGCTCACACTAAGCTAGATCTTCATAGCTAGTGGCAACAGATCCACTCTGAACTTAGTAAAGAACAAAGCAGTATCCTTGCTGTGCAACTGGGTAGCAATTCTTGCCAACCATAGTAAGTCCAATATACAAAGGGTTTACTTGATGTGTGGGACTATACTAATAAGTATTGCTCTCTGTACAGTTGGATTCTGTAGATGCTTCCCTCTTAAGACACATGAATTGGAGTAGGTCTGTGGGGTAGCGTCCTGCTACAGTGATGTGAAAGAATACAACAAATACCTTTAATTAAAGGCAGTAACTCTTTGTCTCCTTTAAAATCCCATTTTGTGTCAGTGGCATGAAAAATAAGTTCCCAAGTGCTGGCATTGGGTTCCATTTTTAACGGTTTTAATGCTTCATTCTGGTCTGTGTTTTTCATTCTTCAATAACGCTGACTTCAGAGCTCAGAAGTGTGGTGCCAGAATACATTTATGCGTAATTTGATAGGCCTTCAGTTCCGATTGCTGGTGCTGTCAGGAAGGAGAAGCACTGCATCTTTTGGTGGGGGGAGGGAGGGAGGCGTTTCTGCACTGAGTGTGCAAAACGTACCTGTTGGCTGACATCCCCCCCCTTCCCCATCCCAGTAGCTCAGCAGAAGCCGGAGACTAGAGTATATGTGTCCCAGCAAAATGTGGGCTACGTCTCTGCTACCGATTTCCAGGAAGGCCTATGGTCACATAACGTACATTAAAATGGAGTCCAACATGAACAGATTGTGCTTTTTTAAGGTTGGTTTGGACCATGGGTTGTTTCCCACCATCCCAGCTAGCAAGGTTGGAATCAACAGGTCAGTTGCAGATCTGTCTTTATGCCACTTTGGTGGGTTTTAAGCGGGAGGGCGGCTGGCCAGGTGGGGGCGAGAAGAACTAGGGAGCTTTCTCCCATTGCATTTCTAGATGAGCATGTGCCCGTGAAAAGCCCATGGTGCTGTATATAAATCCCCCTCTGCTAACTACAGCATTGAACGCCCCCGTGCAGGAAAATGTGGGAAGGGCTGTCTGCAAAAGAATAGCTAGTGATGGGAAAGACCATAATCTGTGCTCTCTGTTTTAAAACATGTTCCTTCTGTTTTTGCAACAAAAAAAAAATTAGCAATAAGCCAAGATGTGGACTTGAGGGAGACTGGCACATTGGCTGACTCAGCAGTGTCTCTTTGCCTTTTTTAAGGGCCTTAAAAAGTTGCAGGTAGAAAGTCTGCCCTTTGACTCGCTGTGTGCCCTTAAACGAGGCTTCCTTGAAAAGGGTTTTGGGGACAGGAACCAATGGCAAGGGTGGCGGAAGCTAGTAAGAAGATCAGTAGACTAAATTCCTGTCTGTACTGTGAAATTGAGACATTAGCCATTAGTTAATTACTTCTTGGGGAGGTGAGGTTTTGGTAGCAAATTAAGAGAGGCAACCATGTAGTGGAACCACAGTGGCTTTACATCTGCACAAAAAGGGTCGACAGACCTCTCTGGCTGCAAATGTCCTTATGCTTAGGTTGGCAGTTGAGGATTAAGAAGCCATTAAGGCTAGCTGCATTTGCTCACTCTTCTGTGTTCAAGTCTTTCAAATAAAACATTCATCTTTTCCTTGTGCCCCCATGCTCCTTCCCAACAACTATTGGCAGAATTTGTAAAGACCCCTCAGTTCACCAGTCTGCAAATGAACTCTTGCTTAAACTTTAAATTTTGTTTTCAGAAACTTTGCCAGTGCGTTTTCCCCTACTAACTTCACTTCTTATCCTTTAGGTGAAAGTAATACCAGCTGGATGAAACCGGAGTGCTGCTCCCCATGAGGTAAGGATTTTCATCTCTCCTATATGTAAATGAGTGATCAGGCACTTACCGTTTTGGAAGGGGAGAGTTGATTACTGCTGAACCCTGCAATGTTAGGAGAGCATTTCCCAGACCCTGATACTGGGAAAGAGTGAAGGCAAGAGGAGAAGGGGACAGACAACAGAGGACGAGATGGTTGGACAGGGTCATCAAAGCTACCAACATGAATTTGACCCAACTCCGGGAGGCAGTAGAAGACAGGAGGGCCTGGCGTGCTCTGGTCCATGGGGTCACAAAGAGTCGAGCAAGACTTAAAGACTAAACAACAACAAACCCTGCAAATCTTTCAGGGAGCATATTGGGACATCTTTGTCACTTTATATGTCTGCTACGTTGAGATTTCTTCTGTTGCTTAGCTGACTTACTCCATCTATTAATTGCCAGTTACATCTGCAGGCAGCAGAAGAGTTATGGGGAGGCAGGGTGGCTCTGAGGTCCATTGCTTTGCCTGATGTTGTGTACTGCTGTGTACCTATACTCACTTGTATCTTAGAACAGTGGTCCCCAGCCTTTTCTGAACCACTGACTGGTTGGGGGGGGTCTGTGCGCGGGGGGCACCCCCTGCACTTGTGGGTGGGCAGGGTGCGCTTGTGTGCATGCACAGGTGACGGGATGCGCTTATGCATGCATAGAGGGGTGAGATCTGTGTGTGTGGCCCAGTCCCACTAAGGCCGTGGACCGGCACTGGGCTGCAGATGGGGGATTGGGGACCCCTGTCTTAGAGCCTAAATGGAGCAGGGGCATTTATTTTTCAGTTCTTTCTTCAATCCTTAGAGGCTTGATTTGATTTCTTAAAAGCAGCTATCACAGCTCTAAATAAAAAAAAAACACTGCATTTCTGTATATGTGTACTCATAACTAAGCCCCATTGAAACTGGTTGGAGTCTTTTCCCAGGTAAGTATGAGTAGGATCATTGACTTTGACTTAAAAGCTTCCTGTGGATTCTTCATGGTTCAGATAAAATAAAATGTTAATCTTTGAATTCTAAACTTCGTGATTCCACAATGAGTACAAGTATGACTTTTTGTGTGTATCCTTTAAATTTTTCATTACTTGAATGAAATGTTATCTTGTATGCCTTCAGCTGTTTAATCTTGCTTTGACCAGGATTTTAGAAATAAAGCAATACATACATACATACAGAGTAACGTTGACTTTTCTGAGTTAAGACCAGCAGTTCGAAGCCACGCAACAGAGTGAGCTCCTGTCGCTTGTCCCAGCTCCTGCCAACTAGCAGTCTGAAAGCATGTAAAAATATGAGTAGATAAATAGGTACCATCTTGGTGAGAAGGTCATGGTGTTCTGTGTCTAGTCACGCTGGCCACGTGACCATGGAAACTCTATGGACAAAACGCTCGCTCTATGGCTTGGAGACGGGGATGAGCACCACGCCCTAGAGTCTGACACGACTGGACTAAATGTCAAGGGGAACCTTTATCTTTTATACAGGATATATTGATTTTTATTGGTTGATTCTGGAAAAATTGTAATAGCATGTGGTGTTTGAGGTCAGGCTTGAAGTTTACATAATTGCTACGTCCTTGCTCCTTGTGGTTCAATCAGAACATTTCATGCTTAGCAAAAATTTTTAGGGTAAACGTAGAATTTGCTGTGATAAACCAGGTGTGTCAGGGGCTGGTATAGAGTTTCATGGACCAACAGCTGGGAATCTGACAGTGTGCCCAGATCTCATATTACTTTGTTTTGTAATCTTGACCATATTTCTTTGGGCTTACTGCTAACAGTTGGTTTTTAATTGAAAGGGTAACAAAGATATATTATGGAAAATTCATTTGATGTATTAACATAGAGGAAAGAATGGAAGATAGCCCTTTCCAAAAGGAGTCATTCCAGAAATAACGTAATTAGGTAACCAAACAAGACATAAACCCACTACTTGTCTAGTCTTGTTAGGTAAAACAAGTCCTTTTGCACTTTGCATTCATTAGTCATGTCCCAAATCATTGTTTGTTTTTTACAGTAGAATTCTAGCCAGTACAAGCCAGCACAGAAGGAAAGGTGGTGAGCGGAAAGCCTGACGGTAACAAGCCGGTAACGAAGGTAAGAGTTATGGTTGAAGATTAGATTGTTTTATTGGCTATATGGGAACCAGTAGTCCAAGTGCATTTTTAGCATATGCTTTTCATGAGTGATGAGTTAAACCACTTCTTGCATGCCTTCTCACAACAAAGTGGACACTACAGTAGGTATATAGGTGGGTGGGTGTGTATTTAGCAGATCAGTGGTTTCCAGTCTCTTTCAACTTGCAGCCCCCTTTAATAATACCCAAGTAACCTGCAGCCCGCCCACCCCCCCAGCTATGTTTGCATGAAAAGACATTTTTAATGGGGTAAACTCATCCCTTTTCAGAAAATAGAGGCTTCTTTCTCTTCCCGCCCAAAGGGTCTGTTTCTCATACATACACATATACACTAACTTTAATACCTTGCTCTAAAAAGTCAAGGAAGTTATTTAACAAGGGCCACAACACACACACACAAGGTGACCTAGTACCCTTCCAGAAAACACTTTGTGACACACACACACCCTTGGGGAGTCACAGCCCCCAGGTTGGGAAATACTGATTCAGATTGACAGAGGCCAAAATGTAAAGGCTTTTGCATTTGAAGGTTTATCTTAGTGGGTATGTTTCTTCTGCTAACATCTCAACAATATTGTATATGACTTCGCAAAGTTCTGCTTGGATTGCAGTTTGTGTCATTCATTTTAAACCTGCTGCTGTGCCTGCTAAGCCATGCTGAGGTTCACCTCTTCGTATGTCGCCATTTGGCATGCTCACTTTGTTTCCTACCAGTAGGGTTCTAACTTGGTGTTTTTTGATTATGCAGGGAAAAGAAGGCAGACCTGAATATTGAAGAGAAGTATGCCGAGAACATGGCAGAGGCTTTTTGAAATCTTCAATAAATTATTTAAAAACTTTTACAAATATAATGTGGTTGTTTTTTTTTTTAAGAACAAAAAACCAAGAGAAAAGAGCAAAAAACCAAGAGATATTAAAAATATCTGATCTGTAGATATCTGATGAACCTGTGATGATGAAGAATCAAATACCTTGGGTTGAGATTTTTTGTTCCTTGGACATCTTGCCACTGGGGTGCTGTTGAGCAGAAAGGGTCCAGTCATGATGGGATGTAGGTCCTATTAAATGTGCTGAAGTTGGCAGCTTCAGTGCCAAGTTGTGTGCATACCTTTACAGTTGGAAGCGTAGCCATTAAGGCAGAGGTCCCCAACCCCTGGTCCGTAGCCTGAGCTGGACCGGGCTGCCCCCCCCCCCGGCATGCACTCACCCCCGCACAGCCCATTTGTGGCTGTTTGCCCACTCCAGCACATTCGTGTGAGCGCTGCACCACCATCTGCGCATGCGTGCACCCGTGCAAGAGAGTGCTCTGAGTGCAAGCGCAGGGGGTGCCCCGCCTTCCCCAGCCGGTCTGCGGACCAAAAAAGGTTGGGGACCGCTGCACTAAGGAACAAATGGAAGTGGCATGAACTGAATTTTAGTCCCCACCAGTATAATAGCCAATAGGCATAGCTGTATTTCTTTTTCTCTTTGTGCATCACTCTGCGTGGGTGGCTGTGCCACCTCTGGCAGGTTTTTGACTCCCACCTGTATAAACCTTAGGTTGCCATCCCAGATTGAGGCAGCAGAGAGAGTGCCATACAAGGGAATAGAGAAGTGCATGAACTGCGGCTTTGGTGGTCCGTGCCAGTTCGTCCTTTTGGTGTTCGGTGCTTCCCAGATCTCCCGGGCAGCAGCTGGACACCCAAAGTCAGTTCATTTGCACTGTTTCCAAGGAGACTCTTTATGTCTAACTTGGACCTGTATCGCTCAGCTGGTAATTTTATAAAACATTAACAAAATGGTTTACAATAACAAGATCCACAGAGGCAGTGCGGTGGTGTATTAATCATCACCATAGAGTCCAACTCCTCCTGTCAAGGAAGCCCAGGGGAGAATCAAAATTCCCAGCCTCTGACTCCATAGCCAGGTGCCTAAACCACTATTAATCCCATAGTAATTTTGCTGAAACTACTTCTAATCCGCTCCTGTTCAGCACCTACTTTGAAAATTTCTGACTTTGGGAAACTAACGCACATTTCTAATAAAGTGGATAATAGAAACAAGGGCTTCCAAGGTCAGACCGGGGGTCAAGGAGCACCCCCAAGCTGCGGACCCTGTCCTTTATGGGGAGTGTAATCCCGTCTAAGGCAGGGAAATGGCCCTTTAACCTATCTGGCGGGGCACCTTACCAGCAGCACTTCAGACTTGTCTGGATTGAGCCTCAGTTTATTGACCTTCATCCAGACCATTATCGAGTCCAGGCACGAGTTCAGAACGGTGACTGCCACACCTGGATTGGTAGAGAATGAGAGGTAGAGCTGGGTGTCATCAGCATATTGCTGACTCCTCAGCCCAAACCTCCTAACGACCTCCCCCAGCGGTTTCATGTAGATATTGAACAGCATGGGGGACAGTATAGAGCCCTGAGGAACCCCATGACGTAACCGCCATGGATCAGAGCTACTGTCCCCCAGCACCGCCTTCCGGACTCGATCAGCCAGGTAGGAGCGGAACCACTGTAAAACGGTGCCTCCCATTCCCATCCCAGCCAGTCTGTCCAGAAGGACACCATGGTCAATGGTGTCAAAAGCCGCTGAGAGGTCCAGGAGAATCAACAGGGATGCATTGCCCCATCTTTCTCCCGGCAAAGGTCATCAAACAGGGCGACCGAGGCAGTTTCCATCCCATAATCCGGCCTGAAACCAGATTTAAATGAATCTAGTGGGCTTAAGCTACAGGAAACTAGATTTAGGATGAGTACCTAAACAGTTAACTTCGAGCAGTGTGACAATGGAATGGATGACCTGCTTTGACTAGAATTTCTGCCTTTTATGGGGTGGGTTGGACTTGATGGGCTTCTTGGCCCTTTCCAACTCAATTATTCTATAGATTCAAGTCTAGGCTTAAAATTTTCCCCCAAAAAAGCTGTTCGTGCTGCTGCTATTTCCTTGTAATGAAAAGCACTGCTATTCCAAACCTTGTCGATACATTTAACCCCAAGCCTGTTACTAATGAATATTGCATAGAGCTCGGGTTTGAATTACTGATCTGTAAGATGAGAACCTCGTCAGGGGGTTGGGAGAAGCAGCGACGAAGGGCTGTTCTCCAAATCAGCCAATTGCCCCTTGGTTCTTGTGGTGAAGGGGCCTCGGTGGCCCGGATAAGATAATGAAGACCGAGTGCAGCACCCATTTTGCTGTTCTGGGTACCGGGAGGGCGCCGATGATTCCCTGTCTGCCTGCACACTTCTCTCGTCTTGGCTGCCAGCCTTCTGGTTGGAGGTTATCGGGAAAGCGAAGCAGAATTCTTGCCCAGGTGAGTTTGCTTCCGATAATGCTGCAAATCTTGGGCCCAACGAGCAGATTGCGGTACCGTTCCAGTTCCACAAATAAAGATGCGTTGGGTGTTTAGCAGAGTAAGCCAGGGTATGAATATAATTGAAGAGATTGATCCCCCCCCCCAAAAAAAAGGCCTGATGGAATGAGAGCAGCCGCTTTAAAGCTCAGGTTGGGAGTTTTGGACCTTGGGGCCAAATCTGACTTAATGGAGTTCGGTTTCGTTAACTGGAGGCTGGATGATGGTGAATGGTAGTCAGTGAGACATAAAGGTTTTTGTAAAATCAAACAGATTTAATGCCATAAAGCTCGGATCCCCACTGGTCTTCCGATAATGCTGCAAATCTTGGGCCCAAAGAGCAGATTGCGCTACCGTTCCAGTTCCACAAATAAAGATGTGTTGGGTGTTTAGCAGACCCAGGGTATGAATATAATTGAAGAGATTGATCCCCCCCCCCAAAAAAAAGGCCTGATGGAATGAGAGCAGCCGCTTTAAAGCTCAGGTTGGGAGTTTTGGACCTTGGGGCCAAATCTGACTTAATGGAGTTCGGTTTCGTTAACTGGAGGCTGGATGATGGTGAATGGTAGTCAGTGAGACATAAAGGTTTTTGTAAAATCAAACAGATTTAATGCCATAAAGCTCGGATCCCCACTGGTCTATGCTGGTAACTGTATTTTTCTGATAGCCTTGCTGAACACTTAAAAAGGACCTTCCCATCATTGATACTAAGTTAGATGCTTGGGCGGAGAGAAATTGCCTATTTTGGGGTTATTTTTGAGTGGAGTGCACTGATGTGTGTGTTCCATTGCAGTTGTATCAAGTCCCAAGATTTAGCCACGAAGATTGGAATTGGTCAGGGTGATTTCTTTAACAAAAAATGCAGATTGATTGTTTTTCTCAACAACAAACCGGACAATGGTTTGAACTTTTTTTTTCTTCAAAAACCAGAACAAGTACCAAGCCCACCTCGCTGAAGGCCAGAAGGACGTCAAGCTTCCTCTCCTGGAGCTTCCAGTTGGACCAGCCATTCAAAAAGATGGTGCATGTCGGAATGGACATTCTCCCCATGTGAGATCAAACCACGGCTTGGAGAGAAAATGCACCTATTTTCATTTTTCCAGTCCGGTCCGGCTCGCCGCGAAGCCACCTGCCTGCAAACCCAGATGTGATTTCCTCGTGAGATCCCAGCAGCATGGCCAGCTGTTGGCTTCCTACAAACCTTCTGCTTACCCCACCAGACAGAGCTTAATGGTCAGTGGGGTGACCTGTGGACCCCTGGCCCGGCCGGACACCTCTCTCCTGCCCCAGATCAGACCAAAGATGGAGATCCATGTTTATGTCCCTAACGGGAAGGAGAATACAGATGCAAAGTCATTGGATGAAGGCTTCCTAGAAGAGATGGACAATCGACCGAGTTCTCTACGATTGCCAGATTCCTGAAATCCACTGAACATAAAGCTACGAGAAATGGGATGTCGGATGAGTAGGGACGTGATCCTTTTCATTTCCACTTCTCATGACCCTGTTCATTTCCCAATAGTACATTATTGTAAGCTGGCATGTCTACTCGTTTGCTGTACATACTTTCCCTAAGAAATAAAAAAATGCACTAGTACAATCCATGGGGATTCTTGAAATTCTAATAGAAGACGCGGGAAGCTTTGATGAGCTGTGACTCGTTGCTCCGTAGTGAGGTTATGGTACATTCCTGCCCCACAGATAGGACCTTGAGAACAGAAATCGAGGGTCTGGCTGTGCAGAAGGAGCAGGAAGCCCCCATAGCCGCAAGAGGGCTGGATGATTATATTTTAAGAAAAAGCTGAAGTCTAGTTGCTTTGTATAGAACTTGCACTTGAGTAGGCCCCCTGGACCGGTGTGAGTTGCCTCCTGTAAGTTCTGTGGGTGCAATTAATGGCAACTAGAGTAGGCCCATTTGAATCTGTGGAGGAGCTGAGACAACCCAACCCTCCACTGATTCAGCGGGACGGCTCTCCTGTGACTTGCTAGGATTAAGCGACAGGATTTCACCTGGTGGGTTCCTATGACTCGTAACTCCGACAACACAATGATACAACAAGCAACTCTCTTTCATTTTCTCGGTGATGAGGAACAGTGGCCAAAGGATTTGCAGGAAGGGTTAAGGAACCTAGTGGTCCTCACATGTCCTTATACAAGCGGCTTGCTTGCAAAATATTGGAAGTTAATATAAACTGACCTGTCCTGGATCATACCCCGAGTCCTATCTGATCCAGCCTTATGTTCTTATAGTGCACAGATCAGATGCCTTGTCTGCTTGCTTATGGTTTTATCCCATTTTATTCCCTTCCAGAAAAGCTCTCGGTTCCTACCTTCAGGGCTAGATTTCTGTGAGGTCACAGCAGAAGAGGAAATGAGTGGGGAGGGAAGAGGGGGGAAAACAAGCAATTTCATGAATCTGAGCCTGGAGGACTCCCTTTCTTTGGGCATGGGAGTCTTGTGTTTATTTTAGGGAAGCATCAGATTTGTGTAGAAGACATGCTTTGGGCAAGCTGCACAGTCCCACAACACGCACACACACACACAAAGAAGGGAATGGGAAACCACTTCTGAGTATGAATTCTCTACCCAGGACTGACTTGGCCATACACAATGATTAAGCCCTCCTGGTAGTTTAGTGAGATAAGTCTCTGGTTGAGAGTTCGATTCCCGGCTATGCCTCCTGCAAGTAGAGCCAGCCTGGGTAGCCTTGGGCCAGAAGGGAAGGGCAAGCCACTTTCCGAATCTTGTCTACCTAGAAAGCCCTGGGAAGGGTCATCACGACTCAGAAGTGACTTCAGGGCACATGGTTATTATTTTTTATGATTAAAGCGGGTGCCCCAAGATTTTTGGGGGTGTGTGTGGTTCAAGCGGGCAGAACACTTCCTTGTTAAGGTGTTGACTTTCAGGTTCAAGCGGGCAGAACACTTCCTTGTTTAGGTGTTGACTTTCAAGGCACGCGCGCGCACACACAAACACACACACACTGCCCATGAGGACAGAACGGGCAGCCTCTCCTCCTGGCACGCGGATATCGCCAACCGGGCCTCTCCGTGGTCAGGAACGGTTGGCCGCGCAAGGCTGCAAAGCGGGGGTCCCTTTTCAGCCAGTCGCTCTCCGCTGGTTCGATCCCCGGGCTGGGTGTGGACGATGACGTTGGTGCAACGGAGGGAGGGAGGGGGAATTCCGCCTCTGGGCGGCTGTCGGTCGGTCGGGGCCTCTCCTCCCCTCCCCCTCGTTCAGATCTCCGCCTTCCCCCCCCCCCGCCCGAAAAGGAGGCA